AAATTGTTATCTTCTGTTTTCTATTTCTAGATTCTAAATTCTATTTCTTTTCGTCTCGCACAACATTCGTTCATTTTTGCAACAAGTCGGATCATTCGGAAAAATAAGAGCGGGAAATCTCGATGAGAACAGATTATTATATCTGCGGGCGAACGAACGCGAGTAAACGGGCACGAACGATCACTGAAATTCACATTTGCATTGAAAAGACGTGTGTACAGAGGAGGTGAAGTCACAACGACGAACGCAACAATGTTAACGATACGCACAGCCACGAGAAAACAAATATTCCTGAATCCCTGAATCTCGATAAACTTTCGCATCGGGCGACGCGCAAAATTAATGTTGATTATAATTCACCGTGTATAAACTCACCGCACGTTCACGTATATATTGTACGTTACGAGGCTTTATTGCCGTAATATAGCGACGAGATGACGCGGTCTTTTCGATATTCAGACGTACGCCACTTTATCTCGATGGATCGTGGAAGGATATATCGCGGCGCGCTCTTGCGTTTCCAGTCAATGCGCACACGAAGATTCTGCCATATGCTGAATCCGTGCGACTGTGACGTATGACTTGATGGAGTTTCCTCGTGTATAAAAAACATTTCCTCTCTTCTGTAACAAACATCTACTATAATTTAGCGCGAGCTAACGTTTGTTTCCATAAAAAAAAAAAAAAAAAAATCAAACTATATTTTATTCTACCGCTATGATATATTTGTACGCACGCGTGTAGAATCGTATTTCCAACAATATTTATTTCAATAACTTTTTTTCCGAATTGCTCGGAGATATGTTTACTTATAAAGTCTTTCAAATAAGTTTTGGCGGACAATGTCGGACAAATGTTAGGAGACGGCCAACAGCGCGGATAATGCAAATGCGCGCAATCTTCGCAATTTGTACTATCACGAATCACAATAATTTATTCAGTCAATTACTTTACAACCGACGCCAGCCTGTGGCAAATCATTGAGCGTAAAGGTCAATAGCACGCAGTTCTAAGTCTAAGTCAGACACGTCATCTTAAGCACGCGCATTAGCATTGACGGATTATCTGCAGATTCTGCCTTTATTCTCATTCAAATCAAGTGATTAGAAATTTCTGCTGACGGACGATTTTAACTCTTTCGCACAATGTGAAATTATGTCAAATGTTTGTTCAATCACAAACTCGACTTCGAAAGCTTCGCGCAAAGCTACATCAGTGATTATGCTCGATCGAGATCAATGATCTCGATCTTCGTCGTTATCGACTCGCGCGCTTCTATCTATAGCAAACGCTCGGTTATCAGCAAGTTAAGTTTCCGCGAACTCAAACGTGTACATATGCGTGACACAAGCACGCGTACTATTCGCGTCACGTCTCGTTTGGCCCGGGAATGTTTGAGAGGGTCTCGTGACTGTCCTGAGAAGCAGTTCAATTCGCCACATGTTGACTTTACTGCAGGGATATAGAGGGGAAGGAAACGAAAGAAAGAAAGAAAGAGAAAGAAAAAGAATCACGGGGGTCAAGGAGTATGTGTATGAACCGCCAACGTGCACGGCCCATATCAGAGGTTGAGCCTCGGCAAATCGCTCGGATGGAGTTGTTCCGAGACGATCGGACAAGGGCCTTAAAGCGTATTCGTGAGTTGGATATGTACCGTTACGACGTTGCCCAAGAATAGTTTGGCTGCGCGAATGACCACGGCCCATTTCTTCCTTTTTTTCGACCTCTCCTCCTCACCTACATCTCACCCGGAACATCGCACACACACCTCTCTCGTCACTTTGTCCTTCGTCCTCCCCGGTCACGGATTCAACGGATTTTTCGACATCCTCCTTCTAACGGACGCCCTCCTTTACGGACCTGCGTCGCTCGCGTCGTCTTTGATTACCTTTTTCATTCGAGGAAGCAGGCCAAAGGAACGGGATATCGGGAGAGAGGACGCGCAATGAACGATCACGATCGGTACGGTTAATCAATGGGCAAAAAGACAACCGTCAGTAGTATTATTCAGCCGTAATTAATCATAAATGACGACGTATCTTCGACAGTAGAATTAATGTCAAGTAACATAAACAGATGCATCGCGCGCTCGCGTCATTACAATTGTACGCAGATATATTGTGACTGATTGTACGTGTGTACTTGTATTTTTTATATTTTGCATTTTGTAATTTTTCTTTCTTGTATGGTCTGGATTGTACTTTGCTAAGAAAACAATCAACGCGCGTATGAGAATTTCTTTAAAAAACACGCAGAAATTGTATTGAGAAAGGTGCGCAGTCTCTTAAGTGGAGGTCGGTGCGCCCTTGGGAAAATCACTTTCCTTCCGCGAGCGTAACAGCCGGTTATCTCTCCATTCTGCGGTGCGCGCACGCGGGTGCCGGCGCTCGTTACGTGCGAACCTACAAACTATCGGCGAAGTCCTCTCGTAAACCGTAGGTGTGAACGTAAACAGGGGAAGGAAAGCGCGAGGACGCGGACGACAGAGCAACGGTTGCAGGAGGGGAGGTCGCGGAAGGACGAGGAAGACGGAAGAAAGACGGTAGCACGAAATCTCGGAAGCGCCGGTAACACAGGCCTTCGTACTTTCACTTCCTTCCCCCCTAATCCCCTCCTCCTTAGACTCATCGTCTCTTCCTCTTTCTCTCGCGATCTCTCCCTCCGGCTCTTCCTCTCTGTCTGTTTGTCTGTCTGTCTTTCTCTCTCTCTCTCTCTCTCTCTCTCTCTCTCTCTCACTCTTTCTCTCTCTCTCTTTCTCTCTTTCTACTCTTCTTTCTTCTGCATAGAACTACTTTTCCTTTCAAGTCCTTGACTGAGGTGTTCGAGACCAGCGCCCATGTTAAATTTAAAGATCTCTCTTTGGTAGCCGCACGAGAGATGGATCGCGGCTTCCATTCGGAACTTCTAACGCTCGTCCGCTCGTCCTGAAGCGTCTTTTCCTACTCGCCATCGACTGCCCACGTTCGTCGCGTGGGATAAATAGTTGCGTGTCCACCCGTTGAATATGGCCACAACCCGATCACTGAACGAACTACGCAAAGAAAACGAGAAGAGAACGAGACGGCGACGAGGTGGCTAGGGGGTGGAGAAAGAAGAAGGAGGAGGGCAAAAAAAGAGAGAGAGAGAGAATGAAGAAGCGAATACGCGGCATGACCTCTGCATCGCGAGGTGAGAAAGAGAAAAACGAAAAAGGAAAAGAGACAGAGCCGACTGTTGAGCGCGAGACGCGGAATGGTGAGAGCGAGAGAAAAGCGTTGCATCGTCGCCGCGGCGGAGGGAAGCAGCAAGGAATGAAGAGGCGGTGGGCCGTTTTGCGCGTGTGGCAACGCTTTCGTGCGAAAGAAGAGAGGAGACCAAGTTGGATGACGGCGAAGAGAGAGAAGAGACGGCGGTCGGACGAACGAACGAGAGAGGAGACGAGAGAGGAGCGAGCGCGAAGGCGCGCACCAGGTCGGATCGAGAAAGAGATGAGTATGGAGGGTTGGTAGAGAAAGAGAGAGACGCAGAGAAAAGAGAAAGATGGGGGAGAGAAGACGGTGGGGAGAGGACGAAGCCGAGGTGAGTCGAGATGATGCAGTTGTGCGTTTGCAAGGAAGGCGGAAGGAGGAACCGCGGAGGGAACCGGTCCCGGTCACTAGGCCACCAGCCGGCCGTCGAACCCGCCACACTGCCCCCTACCGCCCCCTCCTCTCTCACTCTCTTCCTTCACCCCTCTACGCCCTTCGTTCCTCTCGGCCGGTGTATTACCTCCTTGCAAACCTCACGTCGCTCCTTACAACCGGCGACTCGCAAGTTGCCTTCAAGTTCTTCAAACAATGTCAATCCACGTGCACCGCCACGTTGATAATATTGCCACGTCCTGTCACTATGTTTACTGCCCCGTGGGGCAATGTTTTCTGTGCTATTCCCTGTCCCTTTCTTCTTCCGTCTTCGAGAACCTTTCTTCGGGATAATGCATTTTCGCGCACTGACTTCACTTACGGTAAATACTCCGTTTTTTTTTTTTTTTTTCAAAAAAAGCAAAGCTTTCGAGTCAGTGATACATGAAGAATAAAAATGATTGTTTCTTTATCGTGATCAATATCTAGATCGCAACAATATCTGTTTGTTGCACTTAGTTCGTGTGGTATTGCACATACACACACAAAATATTTATTATTACTTTACACTGAAATAATGAAAATTACATGGTAATGCTGGGTCTTTCTGTGATTGCATTCAATTGGCATAATCAACAAGCACATTCTTGCAAAAAATGCCAAGATTAGTTTTGGATCGGGTTTTCGATCGTGAGAAAACAAGCGCGATGGTAATGCAAACGGAAGTTCGCTTCGCTCGCGGTAATCTCCGCGAGATACGCCAAACATTTTCTCTTAATTAAGAAAGGACGTGGCAGTAATTAAGTTTCCCTTCCATGGCATTCTCTTGCTCGAGTCGATGCTTTATAAAGCATTCTTGGCGATCGTCAAGCGTGGTTTCGCTCATCGATTTTGCCTCACAATAGTAAAATAAAATTGGCCAATATTTATTGAATTTTGTAAAGTAAAAAATATTAGGAATTTCTGCAAATTATAGTTTGTAGTTAATTGTTTGTAGATAATTTACATTGATATTGACAAATGATTTATTTTTATGTAACTTTAATTTTAAAACAATTGAAAAAACAGGTTTATTTATATGCTTATAATTAATACACTAATTTATCTATGAGAATTTTTTAAGTAGAAATATTTGTCTATATTTACTGATGATAAAATATACAAAATTATTTCCTTCATAACTGCTTCTCGATAACAAGAACCATGTACTAATCCAACAATGTACCAACCGTAGATACATCACTGGCTCTACAAATGTGTCAGGTATCTCATATATCTGCGGACATCATTAGGTGTTTGTTCGATAATCGATAATCTCGCATCTTCGAAACAATCTTATATGCTTTCCAGAGACAAATCAGAATAATATGAATATTTTCCGTAAAAAAAGAAAACAAACAATGTTTACGTAGAATATATTTTATTTGTACAAATGTGTATATAAAAAAAACACAGTTATACAAAATATATCGAACAAAACAGTAGTAAAAAGTACTTTAAATCGATAGCGAGATTTGTTGCGCAGAAAATGGATTCTCATAAATTCTCGCACATCGCACGAATATCTCATGATTTAACGTATTGTCAGGCGCGCGGGTTCAATTCGTTTCTTTGGACATTCGGTTGACGCATGGCGCCCTGGTACATCGCTTCTGAATTAGGTGGACAAGATTGGCACAGCGGTACGGACTGGGCGGGCGGACAGAATTGCGTCTGACGTTGCTCGCAGGATCTTCTGTCCGAACCGGCGGAACACTTGGCAATCGGTGGTGACATTACGCAAGGATCGCAAGTAACTTCACAAGGCGGGCAGGGTAATATACAGACGGGTTTGCAGTCGAGGTCGCAGGCATATCGCATCTCGTAAGGAACGTCGTTTCGCAGCGTGAGGCACTTTCCCTGAATTAGATAGCAGTAGGACATAGCCAGGACGGGACTGCCGCAGTAGGAAAGCTGGGGTAGATGTCCGTACAAATCGATGTGTGTGTACTTCAAGGGGATACAACTACAGAGTCCGTGCTGTAATCGATATGAGACAGATTTAGAAGGAGAAGAGACAAGGAGGAGAGAACAAATGAAGGAAAGAAGTGGCGGGAAGAGGGAGGAGAAAGAGTAAACGAAAGAGCAAGAGGCGGATAAATGAGTCTTTAAACGTCATTGTAACGGAAAGGGTTTTTAATCTGCCATTAACGCTCACTCGCGGTTCCTACGTAAAGTCGATCACCCATAAAGGATTTATCGCACTTAATTGGAGGGAATCGAGCGAATAATGAGCGCAACTCTCGAGTGATAGATGCGATATATAGCTGCTGATGTTTTTATGTATATTTTATGTATAAGATAAGAAGCACCTATCTATATATCTGACACACAATAAATCGAAGTGTGCGACGGTTTAATATCGTAAGCATCTAGAGTAGATAGCAGTGAGTTCTTGTAATAGCGATATCGATTTTCGGAGCATGTGCCATTTTACGCGAATCGCTTTTTTCTCTCTCTCTCTCTTCCTCTCTCTACGTGTGACTAATAAGTGATTCGGATGAAAGTAGAGAACGAATTGAGCGAACAGTTTCGAAAATAACGAAAGAGTTGCGTGCGTGGCGAGAAAGACGGCTGCGTCAATGATATGTATAGTAATATTTTTTTATTTCAGGACTGTTACCAGTATTAAGAAGAAAGATCGGAAGTAAAGAAAAAGAGTTTCTGGTCCCCGCTTTTTTATATTTGGCAAACGGTATAAAGTGAAGCTTTGTATTATTAGTAACATTATAATATAAAAAGTATTACACTTTCTGTGTGTTATTGTCTCACAAGAAAGCCACGCCTGCAAGATTGTTTTATTTACTATGTCCTGCCAATATTTTATATTCAACGTAATCCTAATATCTGTACACGTCCCTGCACCAAATACCTCTGTGTAATTGTTTGCGCTGATGGTAAATCCTAGCGATACAGCTTACGGAAACTCTGAGAGTAAAGGATTTACGGAGAATTAATCATGCACTTTCGGTTAATGTCCGAAGTTCTTCGCGCAAGTTACGTAGATGTACCGATTTACTTAAGCACATATTATGAAAAACATATTGGAATGAAAATATTGTAATATAACCATATAAGGAATAAAAATATGTAATATTATATAACCATATGTAATATTGTATAACCATATTGCATATGGTTAAAGATTAGCATCGAGCTTTTTAATCTCGTTGGTATCTATTTTATCAAAAAGAAACGTTTTGGCCAATGCTACAATTGGCGAGCCGGTTGGTTGTTCGGGAAGATCACCGGCACTTCCGGCTATATCCAGATGAGAATACTTGAGAGGCTGCTTTGATTCAGTGCCGTGCTAAAAGTCACACATCGATAAAGAATTTGTATAGAAAATCATATGAAATGTTCAAGGAAAATCAGTGACAATTAAAGACGGGATACCTTGTCCAATCCGGACGCTTTAATTAAGAAGGCGGCTGGTCCTTGATGACCCCGCGGAGTTTTGACGCTAGGTTGATTTAACGCCTGAACAATATCGTCACCTTCCGCACGTGCCGCATGTGTCGCGAAGTCCTCTCTGCGTATTTGCGAGATTTCGAACGGGTCGCCCATAACTTCGCCGGAAGCTTGAAGTTTTTGCGCGTTGCTGGCTAGTCGCGCCACCGCGTTATCCATCACAATCTAAATGTAAAAAAATAAAAAACAACACGCACATAATTACGTACAAATGTTTCTTTTTATTGAGATGTGTGCATACGAGAAAGCTCTAATAATAAAGTGTTGTACTGCGCGCACAAACGTAAATTCGGACCGATATGACGCTAGACGCGTGGAAACTGCGCAGTAGTGCATCTAGGTCAACAACGACCGTGTCCAATTAAGCCCTTTTCTCGATGAATCAACAAATACGTAATCGTTTGTGTCTATACGCATTGATGCCACTTCGGACCTTCCTCTCTCTAGCTTTGTTATTGCTAACGTGTAATGACGATACAAGCAAGATTACGCGCTTTATTATTGCGAAACACGCGTTATTTTTCTCAACAAACAGAATTTTCAAGTCGTCACACTCGCTGTCATATAATTTGCACTAAACTGCCAGTAAAAAGTATAATAAATATAAAATATTTTAAAATCTCTTATACTCACGGAATATCCTACACCTGCAGTTAACAACGCGTGACCTGTTAGCGTAGCCACCGTGAAGAGATGCGGGTTCACGGAACGCAAAGCCATTTCTTTGATATGATAGAGAGCGTCGGCCATGGCCATCCTACCCTCGGCGTCTGTGTTACCCACGCGCACTCTCGCACCGGATTTCGCCGTGATTACCTCATCGGAGACGTAAGAATTCTCGCCTACGCTGTTTCTCACAACGCACAAAGCGACGACCACTTTTATCGTAGGCGGTTGCAACAAATTTACCACCTGCCACAGATAAGTTCGCGAAATTGTTTGCAAACGTTTCTCAAAGTTGTGGCATTTAATTGTGAAATTTTAAACGTGCTGACTTTGCACACGCGCTTGCAAGGAATAGAATTAACGATTTGTCAAGGATCTGGGGAAACTTATCAAAATGCAATTAGTAATAGAGCCAAAGCGAAACGTGCGTCTCATGACGGCACGTGTAACAACCACACGCAATGACGTTATATATTACGGCACCTGCATGAATCCGGCGCAGGCGGCCGCGCCGCATTTGTCCCTCGACATGCCAGCCATAACGCCTTGGCACTTGATGTCGACGCCACCGGTGTCGTAAGTGACGCCCTTACCCACAAGCATGATCGTCTCCAGGATGCAAGAGGTGGGCGGCTCGTAGGTCAAGAATATTATCCTGCCAGCGTGGCGCGATATAACCGAAGCGGCGCGATTTACGCTCGCGAACAACGGATATTCCCGGAGCAGCGTGTCCTGATCGGATACCACTTGCATCGTGATATTCGATCCGCAAAACAGCTGCGCCAGATATTCCTCCACCCTTGGGGGTGCCATTCTTTCCGGGTCCGCGCCTCCTGATATAACACAGAACAAAAGCGAGGTTAACATGAATACGGAAGTGTGTGAGACTAGAAAACTAGAGATAAACTCTAGCTGCAAAATGTGTTGAAAAAAAAAAAAAAAACAATTCAGCTGTGAGAAAAGTAAAGTTTCTTATCAAGATTTAATTTTTTTTTTTTATAGAAAAAGAATATTGCTAATCATCAGTATCCTGTTATACTTCTGTGTAAATGTGTTGCGTGTGTTCTAGCAACAGTAATTAAGTATTCCTCAATCGTTTTATGTATTATAAATTATTCTGATTAATATGTGTGAAATATTTGCTTTTTGCTTGCACGTGTTTGTTGTGTTGTGCACACTGAATAGTGAAATATTGAGTTCTTTTTTTCTTTCCACAAAGAGCGTTTCATCCAATTATTTTTCAAGCAAAAATGTACGGCATTTTCCATCAGCCGCGCAACTGCAATTATTTTTACCGCTTGACAAGCCTCGCCGCAAGGCTGTTATTTAATAATTCGCTCTTTGTCGTCGTTGTTTGATCGAAAAGTATAATGAATAAGCATCGGTGCAAAAACTACCATCGAATATTGCAATTAATGTTCAGCAAACAGTAATACATCGCGGCAAAATAAAATTAACGAACCTCGTAATACGCAGTATAAAAGATGCGTTATCGTGTTTCGAACAAACAGTCGCGCAATATGTTTATTTGATGTTTGCAGTGAGGCATCGAAAACAAAAAAATAATAATAATTCGCGCTTTGCTTATTATTTATACTTTACTCAGACCTACATGCAAATGATTCAGATACCGAGCTCGCGATGCACCGGCCAGGTCATTCGGAGTTTACTTTACGAAATTGCATTATCCACTTTACTCGTTTTGCCAGCGTGCAAGCAAGCGTATGGTCTATATCGAGGATAACTGTGGCGGGAATGAAAGTTTATATATAGAAAGACATAGGTGTACGCTCGCGCGAGATTCTCGCGGAAGAGAGTGTTATCGATAAAGGATACGTTCTTGAAACCGCAACGTCGTGCGCGCGCGTGCGCGCGCGAGAAGCCTCGTGGGAAGAGCAATTATTAGGTAACTACCGTCGGGAACAAAAGCTTTCGTTGCTTTACTCTCTTTTGAAAGGTGGCGTAACATGGAAAAATGAACACTTAAATTCTCTCTAAATCGCCGGCTACTTAAACTTTAAACTCGATAATTCCCGAAAGCTATTTCAACTGAACTTGAAGCACCGGAACGTAAGAAGAGTGTTGTGCTCGATTTAACCGGGAGCCAAAAGACTTTTCTCGGACAAGTCAGTGGCCGCGGGCGATTTTCCCCTTCGAAGCTTATTTCTTGCCACGAAAAAGCGGAAACTCGCAACGGAAAACCCCCGGCTTTTTCCCTGATCTATCATCTTCCTTCTTGCAAAGAAAACTTTCTTCGCTCACTCGATAAAATAAGACGTGTGTATTCGCTCGGGATGGCACGGGGACTTACCAATGTCCCTTGCGACGTATCTGCCATACTCGAGTGCCGAGGCAAGTCTCACGATACCCTGAAGCTTCTTACTGCAAATCGGACTCCAAACTCCAAGTTGATGCGGGTACTGACTGTAGCGATCCAGACGTGCCTCCCGCACCTCCAGGGGCTGTGTGAAATTACCGTTGGTATTGGAAATTATTATTTGTTAAAGAGAACGCGATACGAATTGTACGAGAAACAAGACGGTGTTTTTCAGGAAAGATAAACTATTTTATATTATAAAAATTTTAAACTTTTCTTGAGAAAAGATGAAATTAAGGTTCAACTGAGTTTTAATTAAAGACTGTACTTGTAAATTTTTATAATACGCTCGACATTAATTTTTATGAAAGCTCTTACTGTTTCGCCATTAAAGCAACCACTATGCTGTTTTGGTTTTAATCTCTAAGGTGTTTTTCGACCGAAGAAAATGGTTATGCTGAAGAGTATGCATACTAAAGGAAAAAAAAAACGTTATCTCGATCGAAATGAAAGATACGCGATACTGCGATGACGACCTAGATAAAGTACGCATAAACTTTTATTTTTATATTATGATTTTAACTTTGAAATATATGGTATTGTAGGTTTTTACGTGTATTATCCCTCCCTGTGCGCGCAAAAGAAGAACGCGAGTTTATTTGCCCAAAGAAAATGTTGGGTATGATAATCTTCTTATCGGATGAGTTCATAGATAAGTCCGAGGCTTATGGCTCTTATGGACTTACGTATAAACCCGCTGAAAGATTTTCTGGCCGATTTATACATCCCGCAAGAACGACGAAAGCGAGAGAATAGCCGTCTTTACTTTAAATCGCTATATTTCACGGCGCATCTCTTTTTTTAACGTTTTAAAATTTAGTTTTAAATTATTTGACTGCGATAGAAATTCGAGAGAAATTTCACCAGAATATTACCATAGTATTTTACACATAGTTCGGCAATATAACCGGAGTTAATTCTTTTTACGCGGTTACCTCTTGAATTTTTTCCCGCAGACGAGCGCTCGCGACCTGTGACACGTGTTCTCATCTGCGATGAGCGCGACGTTTTACGTTGTCACCGGCGCGCGTGTTCGTACGGCCCGCGAGCGGAGCAAAAAAGAATTGAAAAAGTCGGTGGAAACTGCGAGGAAAGAGAGAAAGAGAGAAAGAGAGAGAGAGAGAGAAAGGCATCGACGCGACGTTCACGACGTTCCGATTACGCGGCGCAGAAATTCCGAGGGCGCTTCCTGGTATTTGGAAAACGATGCCCCGTATTTGCGTCGAGCGGAAGGAACGAGACGCAAGAGAGAGACGAAAAGAGGGTCAGAAGAGGAGAGAGGTTAACAAGAAAGAAGCATACGAGCTTTCTCTCTCGGCGCCGACAACGCTCCGGTGCCGCAGGGGCTAAGCGGTCGGCGAGGCGACGGAGACGAAGAGAAGCCGAGTATTTCGCTAATTAGGTCGCCTCGCCGGCCGCCAGGATTCAGGAACGCCAAGCATTCGCTACTCTTGATAGGGGCAGAGCACTCGGTTCGCTTTACCCGCGCGTCTCTGTCCAACTCTGCTATACACACATCCCGCCACCGCCCACAAACAAGCCTCCGTCTTTCGCGACCGAGTATTCCTCCCTCGGTGGTTCGAACTTAGAATTTTGGTTCTTGAACTTAGAAGACAAGAATTCCCGTTATGTGCGCCGTCAACGAGTTACGGGAACGTCCGCTATAGAACGTAAGACTTTCGGCGCGTAGATACATGTATAGATACGTTGAAGATGATAAACAAATGTGTATGTAGTAAAAATAATTTGACTTTGTGATTCAAAAGAGGGTGGGATTAATATTGACGTAATAAAGTTAACGCAACGCAAATAGCACGATTTTTTTACGGCTTCGCAGAAATGAAATTAATTGTACAATTTAAATTAATTTGTTCGGTGAAACTTGAAATTCTATATATGATATTTATTGTTCCGAATGATAAGTAACGAGAGAGAATGTGTGCCGACGGTATTATTAAAATAATTAATATACGCATGTTTGTGATAATAAGATCAAATAGGTCATACCGCGACCTGTATGATCTCATTATCGTGTGCGTATATCTTTTCTTCCGTTACTTCTCAGAATAATAAATATCATATACGTGTAGAATTTCAAATTTTAAATATGAATATGCGGTGTGTGTTCTCCTCACTCCAAAACTTGAATTTCGTTGTAACATCGAATTACCAATAAATCGAAGTAATACATAATTAAAAGTCATGTTTTTACACAATAATACAACAATTTACAAATTTACATTCACTCATTTATCGTGAAAATTAATTATGAACTGTTTTTCTTTTTATATCTAAAAAATACACGTATTGTATATTACAATCTGTAGCAATTTGTATTAAAAAAATTAGGATTTTCAACAAATTGCGGATCTAATAGGTGAAGCCACAGCTGATAAGCTGGTCAGAGATGCTCTACGTAAGATTTATCTGAGATTTAATTATGTAATTTATATATGTTTCGGAGTCTTTCTACGTTTGCAAATAAATCCTTCCGCGAAACGTTGCATCTACGTAAATGACGCGGGAGTCGCTCGGTAAAGCGATTACTACAAGATCCATTCGCACAAATTCATCTACGTGTGTACTCGCGCAAAGTTAACTTCCGGATTTGGGAGTTTGCATAATAACGCGGATACCACCGTCCGGCCATAATTAAGCGGCGCTGAGGTTAATGAACAATGAAGTTTGCAGTCGAGTTGCGCAAGCCGATACTCTCCGGGCCGTAAGACGCGCACTTATCCATCAAGCGCAGCCCGGACGTTTCCGGATGCTGTCGGTGGCAGATGTTGTTTGATGACCGTGTCTGACCGCGCTCTCTCTTCCGTCGCCGATATCTGTCATCGGATTGGTCATTTATTCAAGATTCCGGTGAACGAGCTCATTTTGAAATCGAAACGCGTTCAAGAAAAATGAGCTTTCGAAAGCTGCGCGAATTACCCGAGTTGGAAACTCGCCGTCGCCGTCGCCGAGCGAATAATGTCACTAAAGTGCCACCAGCAAATTCGTTCCGGCTTAATCAACCGGGGATAACGGCTTGATCGTAACGATGCACGGATTAGATGCACGGATGCGTGTATTAATCGCGTAGCTTGCGGAACATGCACGTTTGCAAATTACCCTCTCGTATCCCAACTCGGCTTTCTCGTAATTGTTAAATAATGAATATCCCGTGCGGGCGAAGGTTCGGGACGAGAGTAATTAGGCGGACACGCTCGCGAACAGAGTCTTATTGGGATATGATCGGACATTGATGGAGCGGAATTAATTGCGGCGTTTTCCGTTAAAATATCGAGGTCCGATTTAAGTTCAATCGTGTCGCATTATGCACCGCGATGGATGTCATTAGTTATGGATTAAGATCGCGATGTGATTTAGATACGGCACAAATGGATTTACTACGGTTGGTATGGTAAAGCAACTTGCGGAGGAACCAATCAGACCGCAGCGCACCAAACTCGGCCGAAACACGGAGGTGAATTCCTTCTAGATACAGCTCTACAGGCTTCCTATTCTCTCCCGAACGTGCAGGTGCGCACAAAGCTATGTTTGTATCTGTTTGATTGGTTTAAACGGCTCTCGTGTAACCACAACTGTACCAACTATCTGTGAAATGCCTTAACCGGATATATTGCCGCAATCGAGTATCGTTCGCTCATCGACTCTTTCCAGTTTCAACTCCGGTGATTCTTTTTTTTTTTTTTTCAATTTCTCTTTGTTTTTCTTTTACATCTATCTTATCGATAAAGTCATTAAAAACATGTCGAATCGACTTTTTCACGTCGATGCGACCCTTGGAAATTTACGACTGTTATTGTTAATCGAATCAAATTCAGTTCGGTAATCGAAGTCTTTTGCCCATATACGGCGAAATAATATTTCCGATAACTCCTTTGACAAAACTAACTAAATAACTAAGTTATTCGAAGTCGATTTTGCGCCGTATAAATTTTCACGTTACGTTTCTTACGCTGTGATTTTCACTCGTATATGTATATGTATATGTATATATTTAGGAAATTATTTATAATATTTATAATATAAGTATTTATAATATAAGTATATGTATATATTTAGGGAATTATTTCTAATATTTCAATCTTTCTCTCCCACAAACATATGTACACAGAACGACTTTAAAATACGACATAATATCTACTTGTTATAATATTATTTCAACGCGTTAATATTATGATGAATAATTCACTGTGCGAAACTCACCACGTAGAGTGCTTCCAAGGCGCCAAGAAGCGTGACCAGCTCAACGTTTTCGAAACGTTCATCCGACAGTAACACCAATAAAGGACATTTTACGCCGGCCTTTAATGCCCTGATAGAAAGTGCAGAAAGTCATAAAGTCAGTCGTGTAAATTAATACAATTCGAAGCATATTGCAATAAGTATTTAATAAAATAGCAAAATATATGTAAGCTTGAAAAGTCACATTATATACTTAAAGTTACTAAAAGTCACAAATGTACTTAAAGTTTCTTATGCTAATCTCTTTATATGGTCTTAAACATTAATTTGCTTGCCGAGAAGAAAAAAGAATAGCGATGAGAGAGAATAAAAACAAAAGTTTCTCGTGTTTGACACAACAAGAATTGGACGAAGAAATGCCAATCCAAGAATCTCGCGAAGGATCAGAAGATACCCAAGAGACGAGATTCGGAGATATATAGAAAGGCATTGACGTGGACTCGAGGGGAATCTGATTGTAATTACGGTGCTGACATATTGTCAGTTGGCGTGATCGTCAGGATCTGCTGGCAACATAAGTCACCTCGCAGCGGTACTACATCCCGGGGGACGAACATCTATGCAAAAAAAAGAAGAGAAATGAGACTTCTTCGGGAAATAGATGTGCGATTCTTATTGACTGTTTCGTAACACGAATGGCTGCTTCTGTTTCCTTTTGTGTCCAATTTTCGTCTCGTCAGATGTAATATAACCATGGCTGTGTAAGCGACCCGAGGGTCGCTCGCTCTTCTCGTATTGAATCACGCTTGACTCGTATTTGTCTATTTTTATTGATTGGAATTTATCAAACTCGGAACCAACGAATTATTAATTCTATCCCTCGAAGCACTGCTATTCTTGTTTAAACTTCATCTTCGACGTATTCCCGATATGCGTATGCGACTAGGGAATTTCAAGAAAACTCGTCGTTTCATCGCTATTCTCGATTCCATTCTCGATTCGACCGAGAGTACTTCTGATTTGAGTTTGGTATTAATATCGTGCGGACTCACGCGTGCGCCATTATTATTCCGAAATTTCGAAAGGATTACAAATACCGCATTATCGTGCGAGATATACGCGACGCGCCACGTATTACAGCAATTTTATCCGCAGAAAGCATCGACACTAATTAAAATGCGAACGATAATATTTGTAAACCAACCGCCTTTCTCTGGAGTATAGCAGCACACGACAAAATTTCGCGCGGAAAATTTCCAATTCTAAGCAAATTGTACTTTTAAATTATGCAAAATCGAGTTGGCAGTTTGTTGCGCTCGGCAAAAATTACGCTGCATCGCAAATAATTACGCAAATCTATAAACAAAACAAAAAAAAAGTTGAATTTTTCACAGTGTATTTATTTCTTTAAAAAAAAACTCCGTTCTTGAAAACTTCTTTCTTTCTTTCTTATATTTACTTCATTGTTTTGCAAAAGTTTTAATTAATTATTTATTTTTTGTGTTTTTTTTTTACTTCGTCGTTTGATATTTATTCTAAATATTAGTATTTAGAATAAGAACAGACGACGCAAATATTTTATTATATTTGCGTCGTCTGTTTCTAGTCCAACGTAGCAACACGACCTTATATTTACTTTAATTACTTTAGCTTTATTGTCACCAGCTAATATTGCGCACTGACAATTTACTGATTATGTTCGAGAAAACACTTTCTCCTCATTGCAAAATGCAGCGTTTCAATGACACGTTAGGATATACCTATAATCTCTACTTTTTTTCACTGACGTATTACGTTGTTCGCGTCACTGTCGCGTTGACAGAGTTGTTACATGTGCGAAAAAAACAACAGTTTCGGGCTAAACGGACAGGAATTTCATTTTTCAATCGAATTTCGAGACAGACAGTCGGTATGGCTCACGTGGAATTTCGTTCGCGCATCATTGAGTTTTCCCTATGTACCTATCGAGTACACAAAACGCGCTGACGCTCGTTCGGGATGACTAGTTTCGCTCATTCAAGCCGTCACGCTATCGCGATAGCAAGCGAATACTCGCACATCAGTGCGTCGACATACGGGCACGAAGATGTTCGAAACTGTAAACACGCAATCAAGAGCCTTTGATTAATTACTCCGCCAGTGATTTCGGAGTAAAGCGTTTTCGGTGAAAAACACAATTCTTTTTTTTTTCGACTGTACGCAAATATTGCCGACGCGAGGCATATAGCGTTACTTTCCGCACATACTATCGCCGAGTCCAAATGTATACGTACACAATGAAAAAAGAGAATTTACATACACACTGTAATTAAATCGAAATTGCTTGTGTGACATGTTCCTTAATCGAGAAATATTTTATATTATTATCTGCTATAACACGCGCGCACACACACATGTATTTACGCAAATCTATTGGCAAATAGTCAATAGATGTGTATTAAAAATGAAAGATCTCTTTGAAGATTAACAACAAGCAATTTTGAAGGCAATAGTGGTTTGAGTATAATAGTACCGCGCCATTGTGTGTGTGTGCCGTCCTTTCCTTTATCCTGATACAGTATTCTCATCTCGAAACGCGACAGATAACCAAGACTTATCCGGACAGCGCGCGTCGGCAACCGCAATTTAATTATATGTTGATCGGCATATAAAGCGCTTTATTAACGGATAATTACTGGTTCGTAATGACAATTATTCAGTAATTCCAGAGCCTTAAAACTCGCAAAAACAATTTGCAATGGGATTCTTAGCATAAGTAGAAAATTATTTAAAAAAAAATAGAAACATTTTTCAATTTACTGAATAAATAAAATTTTACCGCAAAATTATTCTCTTCTTCGCGTATATCTAGAAAATGTCATTTGAAACGATCGCTTGTTTTGTACTTATATTCTCATTTAGTGCGTTAAAAAATTGCATCTTAAAAAGCCGTGGGACGTGCCGATAACACATGTGTGTAAAATACATCCCTTATAGCCATGACGACGTTTTTGTTACTGCTTTTGTTATACGTAAAAAAAAAAGAACAAAGAGAAAGAAAAACGTGTGTGGATTATTCGCAAAGAGATTACCGTTTTATTCCCTTCACGGCGGCTTCCGCGTGGCTCCGCACGTCGTGATAATCCATGTTAAGCGGACCCGTTGGACTGTAAATGAGCCTTTTTGCGGGCAAATTAATGGGCAAAACCGCGCCGATCGTATCCAGTGCGGCATCGATTTGCGCCGCGTTGTACAGAACAGTTTTGAAGGGTTCCGGCTCGTCGGATCCAGGAGCACTTCCTGACACCAGGATAACGCCATCGTAATCGATGCTGCAGATATTCTCTTCGATTTTCAGCTGACACGGCAACCACCTGAAATGAATCATTATCCTTGCTATCCGGACACTCGTCGCTAATTGTCGGCGAATCCGATTAGACAAAAGCAAAATAATTACTCGTTAACGAGAACATTACGTCCATCCGAATCAGCATAATTGCAACGAAATTCAAGTCAGTAAAGAGAGAGAGAGAGAAAAAGAGAAAAACAGAGAGAGAGAGAGAGAGAGAGAGAGAGAGAGAGAGAGAGAGAGAGAAGAAAGAGAAAGAAACATCTGTGTCAAAAGAGAAAAATTAATTAAATGTGTGGTTATAGGTTCATACTTTGCGTAATCTTTTTATCTTTGATAAAATTGTAAATAAATTCGTCCAAATAAATTAAAATATGTACAGTACAATAATAAAATGTAAAATTTTCATATTTCTATTTTAATACGTGTGGTTTTTAAATGTATTATCTGCAAGAGAGACACTTTTGCAGTATTCGTGATGTAATGTTGAATCTTACTGCGGAAAAATTTATGTCCGTTTCTCCGTATATTGCAATTTCGTCACATTATTCTCGTCGGAGAATAGAATAAAAGAGAGTGGATTAGAGGAGAATATTCGTATTGAAAAAGAAGTATATAAAATCGCGACGTGGAACGTTTACTTGTACAATCGAAGAGCGAATTTCTAATTAAATATGTTTTGCGCTTCTGTGCTGTATATTTTAAAATAGAATAAAATGAGCACTAAATGCGCACGCAAAATGTTTATTTTTAATAGCCTTAAAACGATATTATTGGCATAAATAAATTCATTCTAACTCTAATCCTGTAAACCTCGGACATTAACGTTCGAGCAATTCTTGAAAATGAGAAAATCGTAGTAACTATTTAGTGAAAGAATTTCTAAACAAATAAAACAATATATCAAAACTAATGTTATTTTCTTAATATAGAATGTTGAATAAAAGTTTGTAAATTTTTACAGAAGTTTTGCAACGTTTTAATTAATAAAAAAATCGCATCAGACATAATTGTTCAGAATTTACAGAATATGTACCTAAAAAAAAAAAAAACGTTTACAAGAGTAGAGTTAAGAAAGACAATAGTTTATAAATTCATTTTAAGAAAAAGCAATATTTTCAACGTGCTTTTATTACTAGAAATGTCTGTATTCTACATGCAAGTAAGAAATTCCACATAAAGAAGTATATATATACAACATTGTGTGCAATAAAAAGACTGTGTTAGTATATATTTTAGCGTAATACCACAAAATTCTTTCTCATGGAGAGAAGAAAGCATAACAGCAGATGTACACATTTCCTCATAGGAAATGTGTTGCATGAGATGCAGGAAGATATTGAGGGTAATTTTAAAAATGGAGCATACTACAAAAACATATATTGCCTTCCTGCGATCGTCTAACGATAAATATTTTTTGAACTACTTCGAGTCACATCGATATTAACACGTCTCTCTCGTGCGCAAGATTATTGTGATTGTCAGAGTTCCACCAATCATAATCAACAATAAAAAAAATTAATTACTCGAGAATTTCAATATCAGAATCTGGAAAATAAATAACTTAATTAAAAAAGTGTTGCTCAACTTTTTGGTATATATTTTTCATCTCGACGGTAACAAAATCTCATAAAAATTATTACGTTTTTTGTCACTGTAGCAGGATTATATATTTTGTTCTGTCGTATTTATTAACAAAATTTTCCTTTCGCGAAATCAATTCGATCAGATCTGACTGATCACAATCCGGGCAATAAAATGTTGAAATTGAATGGAAGATAATAAATCTCAAGAGTCCACGTGATATCGCGTGCGCGCGAGCGCGCATAAATCGAACGCGGATCGATCGCGGACATAATCCAGAGAGACAATAATGCTCGCGGCGTGTATACATACATATATATGTGTATTATATATATATGTGTATTATATATTATATATATATATATATATATATATATATATATATATATCACGCGATGATAATGAAGCCTTTGTAGGGATCTACGGCTATTGCTGCTGCATCAGGTGTTTCGACGGGACTGCTTCGTGCGGTTTATGCTAATAATTTATCGCTATATGTTATCTATCGCGTCTGCCATACGTCGAAACTAACAATGGCTCGAAGAATGAAGAAGTCAGGATAAGACGAGAGCCAGCACGCTTCAGAAATTATAATGACTGATGTTTCGTGCGGCACGTGATATTTCGCGATGAATAATGTAATGCGCGCTTGCATCGTTGACACAATGTTATCGCTGATTTGATTTCGCGCAGTCGCGTTTCGATGTGACTTTTCAGAAACGTCATATAAAACGTGACCGGTCTCGCTAAGTGTCACGGTAACATCCTTGTTAGAATACACGTTACAGAATTCGGATGACATTCTCGTTATCGAGATATCGCGGATACACATGTTTTATCTTCCTGAATTGATCCGTTCAATAATTTATCCTGATAAATTCCTGATCCCGAAATTATTGTAAAATAAAAAATTTTGTAAAAAATTTCCAAACAGGAATTAACTTATTGAAACATTACGTTGAATTTTGTTGATTTTATTTTACTAGCACAACATAGGCGCGCGCTACGCGCACGCTATTGTTATTTTTATTTAGCGTGTTGTCAGTGAACACAACCTGCCACCGCGATGACGATAGTATATACTTCTTATAAACCATATAATACACATATGAGAAATGTCAGAAATAACGCATGAAAATCAAACTCAAAAAATAGTGAGAGAGAGAAATGAAAAACCAACACGTGACAGGGAAAAGGGTAAAAAAGAGAATATTATATATACAATATTATATGTAATATTCTATATCTATATATAATACACACACATACGCACATATGTATATATATATACATATATACCGTAATCACGTGACCAAAGTCAGTAACACCGCCGCGGTCGCGCGGCCGAAGTCAGTTACTCCACCGCAGTCGCGCGACCGAGGTCATTGACTCCGCCGCGGTCGCGCGTCCGAGGTCATTGACCCCGCCGCAGTCACGCGACCGAGGTCAGTGACCTTATGGTAGTATGTATATAATATATATAATATATAATATAAAGTAACATTATAAATATATAATAAATTATATGTATAATATATATTTAATATATTATTATTATTATTATTATTATTATTATTATTATTATTATTATATATTATAACATTATGACAGCTAGTACACGTACGACAGTATGACATGAATCGAGAAACGTCACCGAGACGTCCAATCGACGTCGCGGAAAAGAGGCAACAATCAAGATCGATAGAATTGATTCTGATTATTTGCACACGCTTTTTCTGGTAGGAACTTTAGTTTCTTTACAATAAATTATCCTTGTATATTCTGCGAACTTTGTGTAATCAATCAGCGATATGTTTCGAGCTGTAAGCTAATGACGGCAGAAACTTCGTAGTTTCGCAATAGTTGAGTACCACTGTCTCATTTAACAGTGCAAAACGTACTAGTCGTCGGCCCGAGGAAATTCATATCTCTCACGAGGTTTGCACGAATCCACAAACAAATTTGTTTCCGTCGCATTTTCAACGTGAACTACCTAATTATTCACCCACAATTTACAGCGGAATTTCAAATTACCCGGTAATTACAATGCGCTATTATAGGTGTGCGCACTTCGCAGCACTCTCACGACGACGATAGTAACCGACAAGAAGCATCGGGTGTTTTCGCGTTTTCAAAATGGAGAGGGAAAAAAAAACATAAGATAAATTTGATCGGAAACAAATGGTGAAATCGTTTGAATGTAATCGTCGCGAATGTACGATAATTCGTATCTTCTTCATTAAAACTCGCATCAAGTCATCAGTTAATATTTTACATTTTTTTTCTTTTGAAATATTATCTAACAAAAAATTTATTGCGTGTTATGTAAACTTTTTTTTTTTCTGCTACACAAAAAATCGTTTGTCGACGGTTATGATCGAACTATTCGCGAGATTGTAACTCTCTTGTGCATCAGTGTATCGTAGCACAGGTGAATCTTTTCAAAGGATCGGTTTTGTGGAAAGCGACCGTAGCGGCGCACGCCGGCTCACGGTTATATACGTACGAGTCTTCTGCGCATTTACCTCGATTCCACCGCCATGATGCGCCGCACCCACGTCGTCCCAGAGAAATTCCGTATGCGATAACGAAAAGAGAGACACGTAAAACGTATTATTCAAGCCCGCTCTCGTATAGCAAACGCCAAATCCGCACGCGCTCTAAAAACCGGCAGCAAAAATAGACACGCAGAGCGCAGCTGTTCCGTATGTTCCACGCGATCTTGCCGGCGTTAGTGGCGTTACTGTCAAAATGGAGAAGAGAGCCGCCTTGTGGCTTCTAATCGAACGTCGCGAAAAAGCGAAGAGCGCAGGATCAAAGTCGCATTCGCGGCACGCTTCAAACCTTTGAACCGGTAATGCAACACGGTACAGAAGTTGGGGCGAGAGGCGGCTTCGAGAAACGATGCAAGAGAAAGAGAGAGAGAGAAAGAGAAAAAGAGAAAAAAAAAAAGAAAAAGAGAGGGAAGAGAGAGAGAAAGAGAGGAGAGAAACGTAGAGTAAGAGAAAAAGAACAGAAGCGATAAGAGCGGAAACTTTGTATTGTTATCGCCCGGTGTGCGCCACTCCCGCTGGCGATATTATCATTTCTCGAAGAGATTTGCGAGCGACCGGCTCGGAAACGCGCGCGGTACTAAAAGCCGCCTGTGTTTTCGCGAATAAAACCAACCCGAGAACTCGGCTGCACACTACCACACGGAGCGCATATTCGAGAATATTCTGTGTGCGTGACGTTACCACACTATTTTAAGTCGTTGCAACGTTGCCGGTGTTCATGTTACCTGAACACTGAATCACCTGGAAACTTGAATTTCCAGTCTCGAGGAGAAGCCGTATATCGAGGGTATAGATTTACATACGCGTGAACCACGTATATATTTAAACGAGATCACTTTGCCACGTTTGATTTTATTAGTTTTCACTTGACACGATTATTTTACACTTGAGTTAAAATTGTGCTCGGTTCGATTGACATCGCGCGCGCGCGCGAGTCACAATAGCTAACAACAGAAACCTTGAGCGAAGAGTCACAATCAGCGGTTATCGCGTTTATTACTTGCGTATTCGATTACAGCGGTTTAATCGAGGAAACGGATTTATCTTTATGCGTTTAAGCGCGTTTAGTTTCATCGAATATCGTGTATATATCACACACAAACCAGACGTCATTGGTCAAGAGATATATACTTCAGACATATATAAGTCTGTATATATTTGTGATATTAACGTGTAACACTATATTGAGAAAAACAGAACGCGATGGAAGAAAATAAATGGTATTGTTTCGATATGCGAATATTTAAATGTGAATACAGTTCGAATACAGTTTGAATAATTGATACTTGTTAAAAATTAAAATGACTCAAAAGGCCAATACGAGCAATGTACTAAGTCTTATTGTACTTGTTTTGTTTTGTAAATTGTTGTATAAAAATTCAAACGTTTTGATCCTAGCCGGGATCTTCTTCACCGAATTCTGTACAAAAGATTGAGAACAAAAATGATAATTCGAATATAATAGTTGAATGTTTTAACACGATGTCAAAATATAAAAAGTAAAAAATCTCTTATCAAAAATAAAAACAGTTAGGCTGTACATTTCTAGAATAAATGGTCAGATTTTAAAATAAACTAATGTCAAAACACAACGGACTTGGCATACGCTATGACAATAGTCACCGAACACCTGGCGAAATCCAACTTTTACAATCATACGACTTATATGTATACATATCCCGACACACCACAAGTGTAAATATCGAGACATATGAAAGTTAAAACAAGGAAAACGATTCAAAACAACATATAAATTTGAACTTTTATTTCAACTTGTATATTTCTAGAAATGAGAAGTACAGTTTTAATTTTTTGGTGTCTGACAATTATGTTTATGGGATTTTTTCGTAATTTAATAATTTAAATCATTTTTGAGATTGTTCTTTTTCTGATAAAAATTCTCTTATGTCCAAAATTTTTATCGTCATTCTATTTGAAATCGTGTCCTGTGTTTATTTTATGTTTCAGTGACGACGTATAAAATTGTTGACTTTCCTATTGATTTCAGTTTTGTGTTCTGATATTCTTGTTTCAAGTTTCTTCTTTGACCTACATATGTAGCATTGCAATCGGCGCAATCTATCCTGTATACTACGCTTTTGTTTTTTCATCTAATTTTAACGAGTTTTTCAAAATCTTAATGAATTTATTTAGTTTATGTTTGAGACTACGGTATGCTACAGAAACGTTGCTTGGTTTCGATAAAGTTTATAATATACTGTAAGATAAGTTGTTGATAAAAGAGACGACAATATATTTATAGAATAATTTACAAAATAAAATAAGTACAATAAGATCTAGTATATTGCTCGTAATGCCTTTTTTAAGTCATTTTATATTTGAATATATTTATTTGCAATAAAAATTAATAATATTTTTACTAAGTTTTTTTAGTTTCATGTGGCGTTTCTCTCTCTCGTCCAATAAACGTTATTAAAACGGAAGAATATGCAACACAGCAATAGGATGCAACATTACAATAAGCGGTGTCGCGCACTTTATACGAATATACAAACACAAGTGATATTTCAAAAAGCAATATGCGAAGTTAGTAAACATGTTTATGGAAAACTGTAGAATAAATATCGTATAGGAAGCGAAATCGAAACGAAGATTAAAATATCAACAAAGCGAACGAATCAAACACGAAAAATTTGCGCGTATATATTTAAGAGAAAACAGTTTTATTTTACAAAAGTAGTTATAAAATATATGTATCATGTTTGCTGAGAAAGAAAAGAGAGAATTTTAACAAGAGAAAAAACAGCTTATTTAAAATACTTGACACTTTTAATGAAAAAAAGGTTGTTGTGAGGATTACAAATAACCACAACATAGATTTACAAAATATTGAGTTTTGTATTGTTAAAAGAATAAATATATGTAGTTATAACAACAGTGTAGATAAAAGTAACGAGTACTAGTCAAATTAAAATTATTTTTATTACATACATGGTATATATATATATATATATATATATTTCAGGGAAAAAATATTCTGTTTAAAAAAAAGCCAAAAAAATATCTCATTCTTTCTCTGAAGTATAAAAATAAATTTATAACATCAATGCTTGACGCATCCGAGAACAATACACACGTAAAAGTGCATACACATATCAATATCTTGCTCCTTTCTTAAAAAGAGAACACTTAATTTATTACGTAAGGTTCTTAGAACCCGTTTACAATCTGAATACTGTTGTATTGATTGTTTGCAAAATCTAAATATACATTAAATAAGAAATCCTCACGACCACTGAGTTTCAGTGAACTTCGCTAGATACGAAGAAGTGTATAAATATCATATAACATCAATTAAAATTAAAAAAATTAATTATAGAGTTTAATATCAAATTGTTGAAATGCTTGCACATTTTGTTTTCGCAACTGCGCTATACTAAACTACACTACTCCTTCTTTACTCCTGTAGAACTCTTAAGAAATCGACAGGCGACTTTAATTTTCTTCGATAAAAGTTTTTATACCACATTAATAATTATGTACATGTATAAATATATGTACATAAATATAGAGAATCCTACCTTAACTTAAAAAATACATATGTATATATCTAATACATTAAAATATATCGTTAACATATTTTCTAAACTGTTCAAGGGGATAAAAATAAGGAGACTCCGAACTTCGAATCTTTTATCAAATAATAAAAAGAGGAGTGTGTAGTGAGAGAATAACGCGACATATGATCGCATGTTCCGGATGAAATATCGTATGACACAAGAACGAAAGCGAAGAAGGCGTTCGCTTCCGTCGATTGGGTCATCAGTCTCTCGTTATTTCGTAATTAAATTGTATTCGAGTGATCGGTAGCGCGTACACAAGTTTGCCGTTTAACTTTCGACTAAACGCAAACTCTGCCGGTTTCTAAGCAATTACATCGGATTTTTTCCGCCGTTTCTCTTCTCTGTTCGAGATGTAGAAAACTCGTTTGTTGCGGTGACGCAAGTACTTATTCGACACGTGCGTTTGACAATCTTCGCCTGCAAATCGCGTCTATCAAATTTACAAAATTCGCGCGGCTCCCAGCAGTTAATTCTAATTGGCACACATAAGTCAAAAGTTTGTTTTGCCTAGCTAGTTGCAACCTCCTGAATTGCTTTCATTTGAGCGATATTTTGAGCTGAATATGAGCGTGCGCGACTCGAGCACTGTAATCGAGGAAAACTTTGTTCACGCGTAATTACGTTCTCTACATGCACACTAGAGATCATTCGCACATACCACGTTTAGAATTACAACATTTGACACTAACACACAAAAACAATGTAACAACCGTTCGCTCGTCCAACTTGATCCATTTGTTCACCAATCTCGTAAAGTGTCTCAGGAGATTTTTCGTTCCGATGTTAATACTGCGAGTAATATAAAATATATACGAGGAACACGCACTTATGGGACTAGCGTCGAATCAGAGTCTAGTGTGTTTGCCTATCTCGTTAGTCACGTCGAGAGACGCGGTCTTCAGCGCGTTCAGCTTTTCCATATAACTGTTGTCCAAGTGCAACTTGCCCTTATCGTCCACGAATCCCTGATTCGTCCGGGAAATCGGTTTTTCAACATCGTCGGCGGCACACGTGACCGAAGAGAGAGTCTCGTTCGTGCCGTTCGTGGCGTCGTTTTTATTGCCGAGACGAGTGCTGCTCGAGTAGAGCCTTCGTTTCCCGGGAAAGAATCCCGCCACCTTTCGCGCCATGGGATGCAGCAGATGCTCCTCGTACTTGTCGTTCTCGGGATCGGCCGTAAGTAAGCTCACGATGATGCCGACGAGAATCGTCGTCAGGCTGCCAATGAAAGCGTAATACATGTAACTGACACTGTAAATGGCGTTCAGAGAATTCGACCACTTCTCCTTCGTCTCGTTGAACGACAGCGTGGCGGTCTCTTGTGACCTCGTCCACGTGACATTTTGCGCATAATCCTCGATGCTAATCGGTCTTGTGACCAGCGAGGAGAACGTTTCGTTGCTGCACTTTTCCGTCGACAATGGCAGCGTGTCGACCACGGTGCCGAGGCTGAGATGACCGAACGTGATCCATAACGTGGTTACGTGACTGAAGATCATGCCAGCCGCGGCGCCTTTCCAGTTGGCGCAAGGGATCAGCATAGCGAGAATAAACACGCCGAGAAGTGGTCCGGACGTCGCCGAAGTCATCAGCATGGATGATTCTATCACGCCGGACAGCATTGCCACCAGGAAGCTCAAGCCGATTATCACGAGACCGTAGATAACACCGATGATTCTGATTACGCGGAGCTGCTGCGTGTCTTTCAACTCTTTCAACGACGGGATGTGAATTAGAAAGTCCTCGAAAGTGACCGTTGCGAGGGAATTGAGATTCGAAACCGCCAAAGTCAAAGCGCTGTTGAAGAGAGTCGCCATTACCAGGCCAAGCATACCGGGTACGTGAAGAAATTTGTCTTCCACGTAGAACGGTACGATCTCGTCAATCTTGGAAATGTAACCCAGGCTCAAAGGATCGCAATCGGCGTAATTAGCGAAGATCACCATCCCGACGATCCAAGATAACGAGAACAGGATCGTGATTATGGGCATATTGGCCATCATTGTCCTGAAAAAAAAAGAGAGAATATTCGTTGGTCACAAAAATCAGAAATTTCTGCGAAAATAACTTAAAATGACTCGTAAAAAACCATTGAAGTAATTTATAAATAAGAAAGGAATTTTAAGAAAATTGGACACACAATAATATATATTTTTGCTGCGAAGTAGAGCAGCATAAATGGCAGTAAAGCATGTTAAACAGAGGGTCATTATGCAAATGCGTGATGCAATTTTTATAAAGTTAATGTTATACTTGCATCCAACATTGTATCATTTGCATACATAATTTTGTCGGATTTTTCACAAAAGTTTTTTTATCGCTTTTTTCCCGTAGAAATCCCCATTGGATTATACTATTGCGTCTGCTAAATGTGCGCTTTTGCAAATATACACAGTTCGAGTGAACTTATTTGTCTCGTTGTTAGAGGCACATTCTCTATCTAATCTTACCGCAAAACTTTCAAGTTCAAAACAATTATTGTTTTACTGTTGTACATTAACTCGACATTTTTTTCTGCAAACTGAATAACCATTGCTGGCGGTTTTCATAGTGTCTTGTTTCAAAAAGTAAGTTTTTTCATGTCAATAAATATAGTAAACAATGAAATATGTTCTTTTTTGTCACAAAAGAAGTTCCGAAAAAACGTTTTTGTTTATTTGAAAAATCACCATCAAAACGACGCGTGCGACGTGCAAAAAAACATCGCTGACGGCTTCTACGAGTGTAAATTTATAAGATAACGCGTTAAAAAAGTTTTTTTTGTTTTCATTACTGCTTGGTAGAAGTAAAATATCTTTTTTTGCTCGACAAACGTCAAGACATTAACGATATCTCGACATGTATAAACTGATGTCTTAAATGCAAGGGATAATAATATACGTGCATGTTGTGCGAAAAACATTTATCTTATTCTTACGCCACAAAATTCAACACAATAATGCGCGACAGGTACATCGGAAAACTCTAGTTACATAAGAAAAAAGAAGAAAACTAATGAACAGATGGTGAATGAACTGTCAGTGATGTACGACGTGAACAACGGACACACGTGTGCAAGTGACAAGTGCATTAGAATCATTCTTATCATCTCCCGTGAACTTCTTTGAAACAATAATTGTCTTTTAAATAGATTATGTAAAACCGCGTATAAAATCGTAAAATTTTAACTTGTATCAAAAGTAAATGAAATAAAAAGTAAACAATTAAGAATTCAAAAAAAGAAAAAATACCAAAGAAAGATAAAAAAAATTCAAGTTTTAAATACCGCACAGAACTAGAAAAAAAATTTAATGTATAAATTTAAATACGTTTGCTAATATTAAACTTTATGATCTTAATAGTTGCAGAAACATAAACAGCTCAATTAGCCTCTTCTATAAATTATCTTTCATGAACACCTGCAATTTGCACGATGCAAAAGTAATTTAATCAAACTTATCAATTTTTTATGTATTGCGGTAACTTTTAATCAAATTGATGGATGGAAGCGCGATCAAGAAGATCGAGCATGACAGTTTGCATACATAATATGTTCGCAACATTAATATACATTGGCTCAAGCGAAACTCAACTTCGCAAATGTTATATTTAGCTTTATATATTTTTAGCTTTATATTTTTAGCCAGTCGTTTATTACAATTTTTTAATATTTTCTGAGAATCTCGTATTTGAGATAATAAATGATGTGAATATTTTAAGCGGCTTAATGCTTATTTTATTTTGCTCCAAAAAACGTCACTTTCCTCCCTTTCATTGCGCAATGTTTACTCAGTCATTTTAATAAATGGTAACGCGAGTAAAGAGAGAGTCCTAGAAACGTATGTCGACGTCTCTCGAATTGATATCATGAACCTTATTGAACACAACGAGGATCTCTACACTAAAAGTTTTGGCGAGGCGCCATTCGAGCTCCCTACGGACCTCTTATTGATTATGTGGTAATAGTAACTGTGTGAGCACAATTTCCTAAATCGGCCCGATTCTATACTACTTCAAAACTTCTCTCGCCGCTGTCGCCGACGATGCGCCGACACAAGCGGGAGAAATCGTCGTCGAGTCTATTAATTTGTTATTACACACGAGACTCTACTAATTTACCGCTTTTGACACAATAATCACATTTAATTCAAGGCTAGTCGCAAATAAACGTGTGTACGTCATTAAAGTCATCGTATTCTCTTCTTTAGTAATCACGTAAATTTACCTTTTAAAGGAGCAATTTTGTGTTTTTTTTTTTAACTTTGTGAATAAACGCGTATTAAAAATTTCACGATGTAGGTTTGCAAGTTATAATTGAAAGATTTACGAACGCGATGGAAAGATAAGGAAACGGCGCGTTAAAGAAATTTCGTTGCAATTCCAACGATAAATTTCCACGGCTAAAGACACCTCATGCGCCTGTCTTTGGATCAACTTTATTTTTCTCTCACGAAAGTGTCCACTCCGGTTCCAACAGCCATACATTTTCGTGCAATAAAACTTTATGGGCCAACGTGATGCTCGTTTCACGATAATGTCCCAGCTTGTATACACAGAGATACGCAGCAAATTTGTATCCTATACATGAGGCTTTTATATACCTTTGATTACCACTGAACTAGAAAAACATGCGGTTTTTATATTGAATGGCAAATGCGTCGATGTTTTGTGCGAACTTTCGTAGCATAGTTACGCTCGGCTTTAAATGTACAACACAGAGTTTATTTTTGGTACATACTAAAAACGAAACATGTTGCAAACAGTAAGAGGTAAAGAATAGAAATAAAATTGAGTGACATAAAACTTTTTTTTTTACACACTAAATATCACGCAAAAATTCCTTAATTTAATTTTACGATAAAAAACGCGCGCTTGTAAGTTGAAAAAAGTGATATGATATTTTTGTGAGAAACACGTTTTTGTATATTTTAAAAATAAAAAGACTTGAAATTTCTTCAATTTTTGACATCGACGTCTTTTGATGCACATGATTGAGAAAACTTATCTGTTTATTAAATACGCGTGTAAGCCGCACAAATTATTTCTAGAAAATTGATGAATAATACGATTACTCTCTTTAATGGTTTGTGTGTGTTTTTTTTAGTTTTTTTTGTTGGCGTCGATTCTTCATCTTCAAATCTCCATTACGTTAAGAAGTGTTTGCACGACTTCACTCATGTGAGTCATACTCTTCACATGACTTACGCTGGTGAATCATTAGTCAACCTCAAGTGATTGAGGTAAAAAATGTCTCCGTGTCGCACAAATAGACACACGCGTATGTATCACATGTACTGTGACTGAAATACACGTTTAAACGATCGACATGTTCTCTTGGTGAGATAAACAACTAATATGTTTCTCCTACAAATCTTTACAACCTCTAGCTGATAAAATACTTTAAAATCTCTCTGTTTTTTTTTTTTTTAAGTACAACTTAAATAAAACCTTCAATATAGAATAAATTGTACAAAAAATATGAGACATCTCACGTGCACATCTTACATGTTATGACCGCATATGTTTGCCAAGTAGAAGATTGTTAAACCTTTATATTCTTTTGTTAAATTTTTATAGATGCACAAATGTCGTGTACGATATAAAACAGACATCGCACACTTGCGATCAATGTAATAACATTTCTCTTATCTGCTGTTATTTAATAAGATAAAAACATTTCAAGAGAAGAATATTTAATTATATGGTTTTCTCTTATTAATACGCAGTGATGATTAATGTGTAACTGTTAATCACTAAGAATTTGTTGATAATAACACTTTTGCGATAATATTTGTGGAATTACCAATTTGTGTACTTTACGATACATGTGTTTATAAAAATGTGTTTGTAAAATTTCGAGAAACTTCGTCAGGTTTTTTTACCGACAAACATTTGTATGTTATACGGATTTTTTGTTAATTTTAGTTTCAACCTAACACAAAGATTTTATAATTTAATTGTTTTCAAGATGCGAATGTTTTCAGGCATAAATGTTTTTGACTTTTATTTCTATTCTTTTGACTTTATATTATTACGTATCTATTACGTAGTTTCTATCTACTTGGAGGCTCATTTGATAATTTGCATAAATTACTATGAATTGTGCAACAAATTGTGCATAATATGTCGCGCGTAACTGTCATTTATCAGTTGCGGTAAAAGTGCGTTGAGAAATTTGTTCGGAGCTATAAGATGCTCGGGCAAGAAGTTTACTTACTTGACGACCTTCTTTTGGCTCGACATGCTGCAGTATCTCTGGACAAAATTCTGTTGACATCCGAAAATGGATAGACTCATGAAGAGCTGACCCAGCGTCGCCGATACCGTTGACACTCGAACAGTGGGATCTATATTAAAGCTAAAAAAAAAATAATAATAAAAATAATTATCGAATAAACGTAATAATTTATTATTTTATAGCAATTATTATTATTATTATTTTATTGCTATCTTGAAAAAGTTAGAAAGAGCTTAATTATTTAAATTGCTCTGTAATTTGGCAAAAGAATAGATATATCGTATAATCGTACGAAATTTCAAAGATGCGGAAAATGCGCGTGAAATAATTTTGCGCTGTTGCGGAATTTAATAATGTCGAATTGTGAAATGCGCAGCAAAGAATTTTAATATAAAAACGCATTGTAACGTTATTTCATTTATTGATAATCGGATAAAATTGTGTGTATTTCTATCTGGAAAAAATAATGCTCAAGTTTTGTGTTCCGAAAATGAGAAATGCGAAACTATTTATGCGAAGCTATGTAAACACAGCTTGCAACTTTGTGCACGCTATTCTAACAATAAGAGAATTTGTTTTACTGTAGGTAGAAATTTTTACTAAAATTACATACGCGTTCGCAATACGCATACATAATGAGTTATCAACAAACATACTCGAAGAAGTCCAATCGTCCGCGTTCATAAGTCACGTTAACGACGTTAGCCGGACCGTGAACGCTGATTGTTCCTTGTACGATGATCACCACGGACACACCGATCATTGCAATGCCTTGAATAACATCTGATAAGATAGCGGCTTTTAAGCCTCCCTAAGAGAAAAAAACAAGACATACATATTATGTGTTTTTGTGAATTGAAAAAATCTAAGAATTTAATTATTTTATTGCCGCTGTATGTGATGCTACATTCTTCATAAAAGTTCAGTTTGTTTCCGAAATTACTGTTATAGCGAATGCAGCATCAGCTTCCGTTTCACATTAACGTTTTATTTTTTTCAGCGAATATTAAAGGTCGTACGCGCTCTTTCCATTAGTTTTCAAAATAAAATTGTTTACGTTGCCATTTTGTCTGTTGTCAATGGCTTTCTATTATATGCGCGTTTGACTGTTCGAATTTCCTATGGGACACATATAAGTAATTTGCCGTCCAAATGTAATTTTCGCGAAAAGCTCTCACATGTACTCTGAAATATGTTACAGTGCTATAGCTTTCTCGCGTGACAAACACACGATATTTGTTCAAATCCAAAATATCAGATTTTCCGAAAATATTGTTGGCTGAGAAAACTCGCTGTAAATAATTTATTTATTTTTTTGCAGAGAAATTAATTGGGAATCCGTATAATTTCATTATTACGTATTTTGTGAATAAGAAGAAACATATCTTACGCGTTATCTGTCGCGTTTCTAGTAAATGTCGAATACAAAAAAGATATTTGTCTAACAAAAATTATTTTTGTTTAAGCACAACATTTAAATCGAAGTAAAATGTTTAAAGTCACATTTGTTCTTACATTATATCGTAACAGAGTCTTGTTTGAAAAATAATCGTCGATATTAGTAAACTGTGTGTATGTAAATACATATACAAGGACACATGTTCTTACCATGACCGTGAAAATTACGGAAATACCCGTTATTCCCACGATACTAGCCCAGTACGGCAGCTTTATCACTGTATTCAAGGCGACGCAAGGGGTAAATACTGTGACCGCCAAGTTTAGAAGACTTCGTATGATGTACGAGAAACTAGCCAAACATCTGACCAATTTTGATTTGAATCTGTGGAAAATTCCAGAATAATAATTAAGAGAAACTCTCGAGCAACAGATCCGACATTGCGAGGTATATTTCTATGTTAATCGAATATGATTGCTACATTCTTTTTTTAACGTCAGAAAAAAAATAATCGGAGATCAAAGTGCGCTCTGAAATATTAATCATCGTGTATTACGTCTTCGCGCGTCACACGTGACGAACAAGCACGTGGAAAACAGTCAGTTAAGAATTAATGTGTTATCTGTCCCATTGAAAGATGTTTAATTATTACGTAATTATATGAAATTTATCTATATTCTATTATTGTAATTATTGTCATTAATTGTGTGTGTTATCGTAACCACCACAGTGTGACACTATTATCACTCAATTTGTCACGTGTTAAAAATATTCCATTTACATGTTACACATTTTGCGTCTACATATTATATATATATATATATTTAGACATAACATCTACAGGAAATGAATGTTTTATATTTTTTTTTCACAAATATAAAGAAATGATATCACGTTCAGTAAAGGCCACACGTTTTTGTGCGTCAAGAAGCAAAGATAATGAAATTACCTCATATCCAGATATTGGTAGACCGACGTGATGCCGAGACTGTAGTAAACGGGAACGAAAATAAAGCAGACAATAGGATACGCCAGCAGCATTCCGTATAAGGTTTCCCACATGGCGCTGCCGCGATAATATAACTCCGACGGATAACCTAGGAAAGATCGGACGCCGAGAGTGCCGCGCGCGATCGACAGCATCATCGCGCCCATCGACACGGAACCGGTCGCGAACACATAGGTCGCCTTGGTCTCCTTTTTCTTCTTTTTGAAGCTTTCCCATAGCGGCAGCACGAAGGAGACCACGATGAATCCGATGAACACTAGATAATCCGCCACCATTGATAGGATTTGGGTCGTCATCCCGGACTCGCCGTCGTTTTTAAACGCCTGTCGTGTGCGAGATTCGTTTTCTGGGTGATAAGAATGCGAAGTTTTAAAAGATTTTGAATCGTATGTATCGAAGTGTCACTCGATACACCAGACGCTCGATTTACGAGAAAGAGTGGCTTTCTGAAGAGATGCTCGAGGTTTCAAGTGTTCGCGCGCGAGACACGGTTTTGTTTCTATATATATATCGTACAAGTGTCGCACGGAAGAATCGGTTTTACCTCTACGCACGGTTTATACTCGTCGAGTCTCTGAGTTTTGCACACCGGCTGTGTCGCGGTTGAGACCACGCTACCAAGAAAATGCGGTAAGCGCGCGTTGATAAGTTCCGGTAAGAAGATAATACCGCGAACTCGTCGGTAACCAACGTTTATATTGCGGTCGTGTGTGCGGTTTGCGCGCGTCTCGTTATGTAATTGCGCGAAAGACGCTAATGTGACTCAATGTGATCAATGCGACGCGATCGGAGCGACGACACGTATTGACTACCCAACGTGGTGAAGCGCTTGACGTTATTATGCTAACGACCTGGAAAGAGAGAAAGATAACTTCGGCTCGCAAGAGAAGAAGACAAACGAAAAAGAACGGTCTACGGTGGGTAGGAGCCAGGCCGAAAAGAGGGGAGAGGTCCGGAAGAACACGGGTGGCTTTTCTTATCTTCTGGCGCTATTGTTTATTGATGTAGTGCGCTCATTAAATTTATTATTCTTTCCAGAAAGGAGAAAAGACACTTGACTCTCTGAGTGAGATAATTGTCTATAAACGACCTATTGTCGAATACATTTACGCAACAAACTCGTAATAATCGTCTACGAATTTTAATGATGACAGCGCCTGTTATCAATTCTAGCGCCGTCTTGTATTAGTATTTCTAAAAGTAAAAAAAAAAATAAAAACAAAAGAAATGCTCTTGTGCATTCATGTTTGCATCTTCGCAACTAAGCCATTAAAACATTCTTCGTAGCTTAGTTCACTAAGAACATAATAATAAGCGCCGTGACGTTCTCTCGCGTATGAATAATAATAATAATCCGACGTATGTATGTAGAACAAACGTTCATTTTGTCAATGCATTATAAATTGTTTTCGTAAAGCTGTTGCGCAAATCTTCTTATCAGTACGAATTTATTTAATATTGAAGCGTCAAGATTTATTTCTCTCTTTCCCTTTTTCTTAAGCTTAAATAGTTGTTGTACAACAGAAAGTACGAGAAATATGTTAAAAAAAAAAAAAAAAAAAAAGCAATTCTTTCCCATTTCCTACGTACTATATTATGTATACGCATGAACTTTTAAGAATTTCTATTTAAGTATCTTATCACACTACGTGCTCACATGTCTAATATCTGTTGACTTATGCACTTTTTTTTATCGCGCGACTGTAAGTTCATCATTAAGGCAAAGTAGTCCGTTAAGTGCGATGTACATTGTAAACGAAGAATTTAGAGCGCTTGGTGGAAATAAATTTTTTTTTTTTTTGACAAAACTGTGTTACGTATTTTACAACCCATCCCACTTTACGGACAAATACAAAAGAAACTGGAATCATCAAGACGACATCATTATAATCCTTTTACCGTTTACATAGAAATAATGAACATTGAAGTAATTTATAAGCATCATAAGCATTGAAGTAATTAATATGATTAATATAGTAGCGATTTTCTTTCTCGAGAATGCCGACAGCTGTTCTCTGCGGTGATAAAACGGATACGCGTTGCGGTTACACAAATCTAGGATATTGAAAACCACAATTAAGCCTCATAAAAGCAGACGCAAGAAAGCAGTCTTTGACTCGCGAGCAAACAATGTTCCTTTCTCTCTCTCTCTCTCTCTCTTTTTCTCTGTCTTTCTCCTTTTCTTGTTTGCTTGCCACAAAGATTCGCAAAATTGAGACGGGAAAGCAGCGGAATTGTGCCCGGCACTCCTTCGTAGTAACTCTCCTCGGCGGCGCGCGGACCACTTTCCATTTTCCACCATTCAACTTCGTTCCTTATCCCGCGCAATGCCATGGTCCGCTCAACGCGGAACAATACTGGGCGCACAATGCACATTTACGCGATATGCGTTTGGTGTGCAAAATGACAACGAGGACTCTCGGCCGGATGGTGTACGCGTTAACGCGAGTGGCCAATGAGGTGCCAGCCTCGGTAGAGCTAACACAACCGAGAATCCATTGTATCGCACTTGGAAACAATGGGTTTGCGATCCTACCCTCTCTCTCCCACTTTCATTCACTCCTCATGTACTACTCGTCCCCCTTTCTCGTTCGCGGTTCCATTTTCTGTTTCGCTTTTAGCTCGTTTTCCTCTCCGAGAATGTGACAGTTCCTCCTACATTTGCTCGCGTTGCTTGGCAGCTTCCTCCCTGTAGCTTTTGCTGCGTCGACTTACCGGGACGACGTCTATTTTCGTTCCGCGTCCGATCATCTTTCTCGCACCCTCGTGACTTTCGGGCCTTTTATGGTTTGTCGTATTTTTCTTTCTTTCTTTTTCGTTCCTTCGTATTTCCGCGGATTTCTTGCGGAAATCGGGAATCACTTTTTCACGTTCGTTATCGTCGATGAAAACGACGAAGCCGCACTTTATTGCAGGCCAATAAAAAAACGATGGGAAACACGATCGGTCGTCATCTGAATGAAACATTACGAACACGCACGTGTGCACGAAAGAAGAACTGCAAGCTAGTCAAGTGCGAGAATCGTAGCTAAATGTTCTGTAAACGGCGCGTTCAACGAGATCGCGCGAACAACTTGAGCGAAGAGAGTCCCAGGGAGAGGATACGCCATTATTTCACGATTTTCTCAGGTCACGGGTCGCAGGATGCAAGGATTAATATTCCGAGTAATGGCATTATTCAAGGCGGTGTTTGACCTTTGTCTAATAATAGACGTGCACAACAGACACATTTAATCTTTCACGAATATTATTTTTACATTATTTTTTACTAATATCTATTTTTTTGTTATTATCTATTTGTTAATATCTATTTAATATCTATTTGTTATATGACGCTAATATTGTAACAATAATAACAGCGTTTATTTATGCGTATTTGTAAAAATTACGCGCATGCGACGTCATCGAGCATCGATGACGTCAGTTTTTTGATGACAGCGAATCATAGAGTTTTTTTCGGGGAACTTCTTTATCTTTGTTAATGATGAGTAATTACAATTAAGTGAAACAGTTTCTCTCGTGCAATTACATCACGAACTTACACAAGGAACTCGTTTGCTATCATTATAAATAAGCGAAGCAACTATATAATATTGTAAAATTCACGTTGCATATTTAATATTTCATTGATGCAAAAATAACATTAGAAAACTCGTAGTACGACAACGTGTATTGACGCCGGTCAGGCACGGTAAGTATTTTTTTTCTTATTTTATTTAATCGCGAATGCAAATACGTCGTATGATATATTGTCATCCGGGATGCGTATATATTTACCGATTTTTTTTCTCAACTATGAAGCGCGCGATTTCTCGTCATCTCGTCACACAGAAAGTACAATAAATCATCAACCGTTATAAATCAAATTGCATATAAAAACACGAAATGCCTTTTAGTTGTTTGCAACGCTTTGGTAAACTTAATCTCTCTCAATTTTTCCCCACAATTCTCGCATGTCTATCGCTATCGTGTCACATGAACAAATAAACTAGACGGTGTGTAAGCATTATCTCCATTGCGATAGAGCAAACGATGTCGTTAGAGGACATTTTTTTTTTTTTCAACAAAAAAGAATGTCTATTGCTGCATAGTAACATCTAAAACTTTGTCTTTCATCTAAGAAATTGTTTAAGAAAACAATTTTTAAGAAAACAATTAAGTTCTGTAATTCCAATTTTCTTATTTTTTTTTAAACAGATTGTTGTTTTACAATTCGGCCGAGAAAAAAAAACTTTTAAATTTCTTTATTTTTAAATTTGTTTCAATATAAAAGTAAAACTAACTTCTCTGTCATTGAAATGTAGATTTCTCATTGAAATGTGTGTGTTTTTGAGACAATTAGGAATCATATGTAACACTTTCAGAAATTGTTATACAGCCTTGACCGAGTTCACGTGAACAGCTATCACGAGACAACATGATATAAAATTCTGAAAATCTTCCATCGTTTCTTATCGCGCTACACACAAGTGTGTTCGGAGATCAAAGCGAGTCTTTAGCGCCGTTATAAACGCCGTTCCCCCATACTAGAGCGTTGAACAAAACCGGGTACACACACGTGACTGTAAGAAATCGCCGGCAATAAATCATAAACGTAATCTGTTTGACAGAAATTCTATGCGCGTCTATCGTGTAGAAAATAACTTTTTGAGAGAACCGAGTTTTATACCAATGTCAAATGTGATTTATATTTTCTTAACAGTCACGTGTCTATTGTTTTTGCAGCCGCAATCTCGCAGACGTCGCATTAATTCACTACGTTAATTCCCATGTTTCGGAGCAGAGCGGTGTTACCGCGTGTTATTGTCACACAAAATAGCATTCATTCAACCCGTCAGGTGTGTCTCTCTCGTCTCGAGTTGTCGCCAACACCACGACATAAATCAATGCGGACGTCCACGTGTACGTGTACACATATTGCGACTTCTGCGAAGAGCCAAAGTCGTGCAAAAAGCGCGAGAAACACACTTCAATGTGCTATCAAGCATACTTGGCAATACTAGGTTTGATTTTCATTCTATTGGTTTCATCGATTGATTTTTGTTTTTTAATATAAAACTTGCTTTATAATGAATGTTTCTTTAGAGATGTATTTGCGCCAATCTACGAAGCTGATTTTATTGTCGAAAAATCAATCCAAGTTTCACGAAAGGAATAAATATATATCGAAACATTAAGCATAAAATTTGCAATCAATCCTGAACTGAAATTGTTTCGTTTAACTAAAACAACTATAATTAATGAAAATATTAATTAATTTATGAAAATATTATTGGATTTTTTCATGTTTTTTTTTAATCGTTTTAACATTGATAAAGAGAGAACCAATAGATGTCACATATACATACAGACAATCTATATATAAACAAAATTGTAAAACATATATCAAACATCCATCATTTAAATGTAAAGTGAGTGGGAAAAAAGAGATGCAGAAAAAAGTTCACAGAAACAAGTAAATAAAGAGATACAGAAAGTAGCGAGCAAGCGTTCAAAATGTTGGTTGAGAGAGGAGGGGGGGCGATTTGTTGAGCTTCGAGCGCTTATAAAGCTTCTGCAAATTTATCCATTCTAATTACCGGGAAAATAAATACACCGAGTTAGATTGAATGGGGTGATAATTGCCAGGAGCCAATTGTACACCCGAATTACGAGGTCGTTCCGGTTCCGTGAGCCGAGTACTAAGAGTATGGACCTTTCGCAGCCGAATATCCAGTTACCATTGCAACTGAAACATTAGCTACTGCACGAAGCGTGCCAAGAATTTTTTCTCGCATTGCTGATATGGCGGGCGAAGGAGCGAATGTATCTGCAGTTGCTGCACGTTTTAACGCAATACCCGCTAAAGTCTGTTGCAACGAGCAATTTTTCGTACGTTACATTATCTTCGTTCTTCCGACCGAAGAAAATTCGTTCCGCGCTACTTCAGATTCTATTGATTTTATCGGGTTTATTATAGAGCCGGAGAAGCTACGCGAAACACACTCGCGCGCGCGCACACCATTAGCCTAATTCGCTCGCGTTGGCTTGCGCGGATTTAAATCACGCCGCGCTTCCGCACATATATATTCTCATTTCCGTTACCTTCAGATTTATCGCTATATTTACGCGCGTATTCTCCGATACCTCCCTGCAGCGCCGTTCTCAGCTGCCATTGCTGGAGAGAGTAACTGGAGTTTATTGCAGTTTAGGAAAGTAACTTTTATCGTATTCAAATACAATTCTCTCCTTCGCATCAGAATATGACGGATAACGTTATACGACATTGCATAAAATTGTCCGCTTTTAAAATCAATATTCGTGTGTGTGTAAAAAAAACTGAACGTTGTTCGAAAATTGATTTAAATTTTATTGCAAGATAGAGTACCTACATAAAAGCGACGAATTCGAAAACTTTTGTAGGATATATTATTTGTGACTGTTTTTCTTTTTTTTTTTTTTTAATTTGTGGGTAATTGTGGCGATTATCACTCGTTAGCGATGTAAATTATTATTATTATTATTGAAAATTTATCACAACGGTGGCATAATTTAGAACTTTTCTAACGGGAGTGATTTTGAGTTCAGAAAGTATCGCATTAATATTAATTTAGTAATTTTTCTTTTTCTTTTCAAAAAAAACCACGTTTTTAAAAAATCTTTACCCTTTGTGATTAATTATATAATAATAATATAGTAATCTACATATTGTATATCTTTTGCATTAGCCTTGATAATCTGTTAAACTTCACGGAAATGATATGTCGGTAAGATGATCGGTACGTGCACACAATATCACGTTCCCCATCATCGAGTTTCGAATGGAACAAAGTTCATTATTTAAATGTAGACAAATAGAAAAGCAGAATTTAACTGGAAATCACACGAGACATTGACTATGAGCAAACAACATGACATGTAGAAAATTTATAAACGGTAGTAAACAACCTTGAGGTTTTTTCCTTTCATGGAACAATGACATTATTAAGAACAATGATATTAATTTTTTCTCATATAATAATTTGTGTATTTTACTTTTTTTTATTATTATCAAAAAACATAATTTAATATGACCAGCCTACAGATCTCACGGCCTAAGTAGCGGCTGCGAACATATTCCGAGTTCGAATCCACACATAATAATTTTTTCTCCAAGAGAAGACGGTCCCTTTCACTCGAGTTGATCGATTGATTTGGCGAACTGGATCGGACCTCCGACTATTATTTCGAGTATATTGCTATTCCCGCCCATAACCTATCCAATGAAGAAAGAAGTGTGGGATCCCACTGCGTTTCAATAGTCCCAAGAACACTCATGAGTTATGGTGTGCGCTATGCGATTCAATACATAAAATCACGGCGCGGACGGTTTCCAATGATCCTTGAGGTCACGATGCTCGGCTTCGGGCAATCCGATGTGCAAATGTAAAATATGTATGTATACATATTTAACGTACATTCACACGTACATTCAGCGTATGATTATTGAAAAGGTTTATTTCTTGATTTAGTTTATAATAATAATTATTATTCTTCAGTCTTGAAAAAAAGCGTAATTTAAAGAACTGCATTAATAAGTACATGAAAACAAAAACTTACATAAAAAATGTTGCGATGTTCTAAGTAGAAAAATGAATTCGACAATTATCTAGTTTATAGAAAAGTTTTTTGATTGTTTCTAAAGTTTATAGAAAAGTTTTTTGATTGTTTCTATAACATTATTCTTGTGTAGACATAATACTCCCACGCGATATCCATTATTAGCAACACGTGATTATCTATTGCGCTTCTTTTACCGGAAAACATACACTCACGTATATAATTTGATGATAGATTTATGAAATGATAATCTACGGGAGGGAGGGAGAGAGAGAGAGAGAGAGAGAGAGAGAGAGAGAGAGAGAGAGAGAGAGAGAGAGAGAGAGAGAGAGAGAGAGAGAGAGAGAGAGAGAGAGAGAGAGAGACAGAGATTATTTCTATTATCGTCGCATCTCTCATCGATGTTATCGAACGTACATTCTATGTCTGAAAATATATTGTGCTAGTAAACTCTTAAATAAAAATTTGCTCTCTACACGATTATTATTTATAGTTAAAATTTAAATAGGTAAAAATTTTATCTCGCTAAATTTTATACAATTGCAACATTTGCGCACAATATTCTCGACACAATGTAGAATTGCGCTTCCACAAGTTATGTTTACAATGAAACCTATTAAACTTGTTTGCGGTTAAATTGTAGTCGACAAGTGTGACACGTAATTTTTATTTAATTGTTCTCGTACTTCCTTGCGGTTGAATCTACGGTAAATTGCAAATATGACTCGCGAGAGAAAAAAATGACATCCGGAAGCGCGATATATCTTGTGGAAAAGATTTTGCTCCGTTGAAAATTGCGAAAAATAATAATAGCGTAAAAGTTGAAAATTAGACTTGACTGATGAATGTCAAGCGCGTGCGCGTGACAATAATTGTTCATTAACAATTTAAAATAATTTTTCTTAGCTTATCACGTACTGCATGCAAATGTCTGCAAGAGAAGTTGCTTTTTTTTTCTACATAAAAAATTAAAATGCTACTCGAAACGTGACTTATTCGCACGCGATACGTAATAGCAGTATGACAGGTGTAGGTTTGCTCTCACGTTGCGATTCTCTCGATAATCACGTGATTGATAACGAGTCGCGTTGGCGTCTCTGGGATCATTTTGACGAGACACTTAATTCTCAAACAATTCGGAGATGTGTTTAACTGAAAAAAACATATTTCCGAAGTCTCTGATATGTAATCTTTTACTCCTCGATATGTACTTACAACAGATGATGCAATAACAATCTCTTTCTCTCTCTCTCTCTCTTTCTATTAATCAATTTATGTTCCATAAGAAATAATGTGAGAAAGTTATCGATTTGTAATAATCACTTATCGTTAGATGTAGCTAACATTCGATATATCTAATCTATTATTTTCAAGTAGAAAGATAAAAATTGAGAATGTTAAATTTAGAAATATTATTTATATATTCAGTAAATAAAATTATAAATCTTATGTACAACATATTTTGAGAGTTTAGTATAACGTAGTATAATTTCGTTCTACTAAATCCACCAATTTCTGGAACATAGATTACCGTTAAGTCTCAGATACAAGTTGAAGGTCAATGACAGTCTCTCGATGCACTATCGTTCTCATTTTCCAATCTGGGTTGCAAACACCGAACGTTTTATCGCGCACGGTCTGCTATTCACGAGAGGAACCGATACGTCGAAATGATGCAGTGGCGCATTCTCACGTATTCGGTGCATTGCACCTCACTGAGAACATTCGCGGCTTTCAAGTGCGCAGACCGGCGGCCGACGTAATGTCGGGAAGGCTGGCCACCAGCCACGACTGCGCCTTTGATGTTTCTCCGTGTGTCATATCGCTTTCGCATTGCCGATATGGTAGTCATTACCTCAAGGCAGCGCAGATGTCACCGCATTAATATCGTTAATCGTACTCGCAATTACCACAATACAGAAGTTTGAAGATCACGTACTTATAGTGGTCGTAACGCAAAAATAACTTGTGTAAGTTTTGCATTTAATATTCTCATCAAAATTTCTTGCAAAGGAATAAGATAAAAGTGGTGTATTTGTTTAATCTCTTTGGAATATTTAACGGAAAATAAAGTTTTGGAAATAATTTACAAAATAAAAAAAAATTAAATTATCAAATTGTTATGTATTTTAATGTGACTTGTCACAGATGATAACTAAAGGTATTTGCATACTTTATCCTTGTAGTTATATGTGTAAATTAGATAGCGTCTATCGACAAATAACACTTGTAGCACATTTGAGTCAATATTTGAATTAATAAATTGCTATATATTTTGTCGTATGTATAATTAAAGTAATGTTATCACGAAGATATCAGAAATTAAACAAAAACTGATAATAAAACAATATATTATATGTCAACAAATCAGTGTCAAGAAGTATTTCTTATAACATAACGTATATTGTTAATACAGACATTTATAAAGCATGCACATTGAGAAATTAAACAATAAAAAAACTCTCGTTAAAGTTATTTATTTTATTTAAACCCGTAACGAAATATTTTTTGAATCCCATTAAACCTGTTGTTCTTCTTGAGTCCGCCCGTTTGATATAAATAACCGCTCATTCTGCTTTTAATTTACGTTCTATCAAACCTGTTTCTACGTCTTTAAACCCGCCTTCAAAGCAGTCAACACCAGAATGAATCTTACCTACCTGTATCTTTTTGCAGATATCGTGGTGTTAATCACATTTTCAAGTATTTATGTTTTCCTTTTTAATTTATCGCTTATGACGCATAACCAGCTTATTTTTGGATTTTATATTTTTTACGATGACACCTGTTGTGTGCCGAGCACAAACCGGCAACGCGCTCTCTTATCGAAAATGAGTCAATAGTTATTGATAATTCTAACACTTAGTTGTTGAATATTAGCTTAAGCAGGTAGATATTGGTTTTCGAAAATACGAATGAATGAACTGGCGCGCGGACTGCGCTGCTGATGTTCCAACGGTGAGTTTACACAGTTGGCGAAGTAAATTTAGCATTAGTAACCGGTTCGCAAACCAAGTTTCCCCACACTTCGTCAAATATAAACTTAACTAGAGTTGTCTGTAGACGACTAACCGACCAAACTTGATAATCCACGATCGAATCGTCGGCTCGATATAGGTTGCATATCGGAAGCTAAATCGCCGAGCCGCTATACCGGTTGCCGATCTCGAAGGAGAACCCAATAATGTCCAATAAACAGGAAAAAAAGGAAAAGGAAAAAAGCGATCGTTCTCAGTCGTTGCATTTTACTATGTCTCTCCTACCCTCTCTCTCTCTCTCCATCGGTTAGAATCGTTGAAAATTTCGCTCAGAGCATTTTTCTGCATTACAGTTCCCTCAGTGGTAAATCGCTTGGATTGATAAAAATGGGACGTGTGTAATGGCCTCTCTTTCCTCGCACGCTATCTGAGGAGAAGATGTAAAAGGGAATGTACAGAGAGCGCGTATATAAGGAAGTAGAAATGAAATTGCGGGTGTGATATGTTCCTGCCACTAACAATGATTACGTCGATATTAGAGAGCACAAGAGATACGAAGCGCAGCAATTTGTCATTTTACTCGTTTGAAAGACTTCAACGGGCCGCGGCGATTGCTATAGCTCGTTTGTTCTTCAAAAATTGAGATAATTTACCTTAGGTAAGGAAGTAACAAGCGCGTTACGAATCTATTTGTCGTCTTATGTATGTCGGAGTAACCGTCAATTTGTGATCTCTTTTTTTTTTTTTTTTTTTTTTTTCATGCGATCTAATATTATTCAAAATCTGGCGTCTTTGAAGCCTTCTATTCTTTTTTTCGATTAATATGTTAATTTGATCCTTCGTTGAATTCAGATTTTCAGAAGCGTTTCACCGTGCACTTTCAAGAAGATAGATTTAGATTATCTTAATTTCCACAAGGTAAAAACTTTCACAAGCGCGCAAATTCTTATTTTCTCATTTACACGCGGGAATGATAAATCTCACCGGGCTTTGCGATACTTAGCAGTTACGGAGTATATTTATTGCGTGTATTTTATACCATGATTTTTCATAGACCTTCATATTTGCAATGTAAACTGTGTGTCAAATAAATTGCCTGGGTGATTTTCGACCCCTTCGAGAAATTTAACTCGTTTGGTTTTTATACAAATGTTATTAAAATCGTTTTCGCTCGTTTATGCAAATACATGGGACTTAATGCAAATTTCTATTCGTATAACGATAAAGGATTTTAAATTTTGACTGTCACACATGCTTGTACAAATTCAATTAACTAAATATATTGTCATCTCACATTTCCTGTGTGTACAATATAAATTACACACACACAAATTAAGAAAGTTGAAAATTTTATTTTACAGCACGCTACATCTCCAACTCGAAAATAAATTTCTTATCTTTTATCTTCCTGCGGTAATAAGCAAGTTTTGTTTTCTTTTCTTCTTTCTTTGTTGCCCTTATTAAGGATTTATTTTAAGAGTAATCGTTCTTTTAATATTTGCTTTAAAACGCCGGAGCTCTTTGTTAGCTCGAAACTTTAAATTCTGCAGAATCATCTCATATACCTTTTACGAGTTAAGCACGGTCTTTTAGCCGTAAAAGATCAAGAGGATATAAATCGAGAGAAATATATATATATATATATATCTGATAGAAATTAGAAATGAAAATCCGAGATTTCGAGACATTGAGCACGTCTTATATAGGCTTGCTTATTAAAGCGTCGCGATCGTTTCGAAGTTTCGTTTATGGCGAGTAATTTTGGACGCTCGTCACGTGAAACATTATGACGTAAATTAGGAAGTTTGCGGCGCGGAACAGGGAACAGGTTCAGTATAAGTTCAGTGTATACCGATCTGATCTACACAAAGCACCCGCATTGTAATTTACGTTGCTCATGTAGCAACCGTCGACCACCGTCATTCTATCAAACTGCATTATATTAGGCGAGTGCAAAAGTTTTGATAAATTTCGCGTTAAAAAAAAACTTGTCGTCAAGTAATTTTATTAAAAACTATTTGTTCTATCAAGTAATTCCTATTGTATTTTTATAATTTTTTTTATTATACTTGGACAATTGTGTTTTAAGTAAAAGTGACTCCATCAGTTTGTCTATTACAAAATCGATCAAAAACTGTTGCGCTTTCCCAATATAAGAGATTGCATATCAAATTATATTCCGCAATCTGATTCTCGATATAAGTTAAAAAACAAATATTTAATAATGGTAATTATTTAGAGTCTCGCGTTTACACTGAACTCGCTGAACCGAAGTTTTGTACATCGAGTGAACGATCTTTATCAAATATTGCGCCGAGTAAATTTATTTATATTTATTCATTAAACACTTAAAAGTATGATATTGAGCACTGTTTCAAAACAGTTTTTTATACTCTATTTTTTTTTTTTTTTTTTTTTTTTTGACATCTTGCGGCATTTTAACGTTCAAACACGTATATATCGGATAAAACAAAAAAAATCCAAATATTATTGTATATTGCAATGTCGCGCTGACATGTGTATCGATTTACGTAATTCCTTCATTACTTTCAATTTTACGTGCGTTAAAACAAAGTCCAACAGCGCGTAACTAACGAATCAAGTAATACGCGTGTGTTATAAAACATACACATGACGTTTCTTTGTGTTATATATATGCAATAATTAAAAGCAATCAAATCATATCAAATCAGAGACTTGGTTTTCTTTTTACGCACGTTTCTCGGAAGTATCGTGTGTTTGGTTTTTCTCGTCTTCGAGAAGATCGTTTGAAGATAAACGCGAATAAATATAATTGTCGCAAGATGGTACACATCATATGTATTATATAAATCTTTCCTTATGTTTTTTGTCTTTATTTCGTTGATAACATACGCCGAGATAATTGGCGTTTTACCGACCTCTACAGATTTCTCGAGAATGACGCGTGATCGAACCCGATAACTGCAAAGTCCCGCGGTTATTTTTATTCTGTTGTTAATTTGAGAAAGAGAAAGAGAAAGAGAGACTCTACATGACGATGTTACATGAGTCACACCGTGATTGACGTGTTCATGAAAGTCAATCGGTCGCGTAGTATCCGCGCCGTATGACGAGCACACATTGTGTGTATCGTTGAATAACGGAACGTGAAGAGAAAAGTATATTGTGCCAGACTTTCAGCCAACACGAAGTGTCTACTGTATTCCATCGGGTACCACCGCCTGACGATTTACATTTCGTCCGGAGAATCGATCGTCGTTTCGGTTCGCTTGACGTGCACGCTCTATCGGTCTCTGCGCGTACCGTAGATTGATTTCGCGAAAGAAAAAAAAACAATGTCCGGTTGTTACAGAATGTTCAAACCAACTCGTTGGTGGATTTTTGCGCGCGCTGCCTGTGTCCCTTGAAATATCTCTCGTAAACCGCGTGACTTCCTGCAACGTATAGATATTAACGTTTCGCAACTCTCTCTTTCTCTCTCTCTCGCGAGCCGGAGGAATGAGCATATTTATGCGCGTCCTTCGTTCAAGCTGGTAATTATCGTTATCTCTCTCCGTGTCCTCTCCCGCGGATTCGACATTGCGATTCTTCAATCCGCTCGTAAATTATCCAGTTAATATCTTTTTTATTAACGTTAAAAAAGAAAACAATATATATATTGTTTTCTTATAAATAAATATAATACAATATATAAATAAATATAAATATAATATAATATATATATTATATTTATATTAATATAAATATTATATATATATATATATATGTATATATATATTATATTAAACGTTTTAT